TCTAGAAATTCTTTACTCTTTTTAATCTATGTCCCTTTCTGTTAGTTGGCTTAGGAGATCTCGGCTTTGTTGTTTAGTATATTCGAGATTAGTTTCCATGTTATGTGATGAAACCCAGATCTGGGTTTGAGAAAAACCCAGATCTGGGTTTGAGAAAAACCCAGATCTGGGTTTGAGAAAAACCCAGATTTGGGTTTGGAAGAGGAAGAAGAAAGGAGAAGAGAGAGATAGAAAGAATAAGAAGAAGGAAGAAGGATGAGCAAGGAAAGGAAAGGAGGAAGAAGATGAAGTTTGCGAGAGAACCCAGATCTGGGTTTGCAGAGGCAAGGGAAAAGGAAAGGTAAAAGAGAGAAAGTGAAAGAGGAAGAAGAGATGACGTGGATGAAAAAAAAGGATTTCAAAAATTTTAAATTAAATAAAAATGCCACCTCATAAAAAAAGATGGCCAACTGTGTTTTTCTTTTCCATGTCATTAGTTAAGCAAAAAGTCAAATGATTTGCTGGCAAGTTAACGTGACACCTATCATTTAACTGACGGAAGGACCATTTTGTACCGAAAATGAAAGTTTGAGGATAATTTTGGTACTTTTTAAAGATGAATGACAATTTTGGTACCAAAGTGTAAAGTTGAGGGACCAAAATGGTACTTAAACCAATTTATTTATTCATGGAGTACAAGGAGTATTCCACAAAGAAGTCAATCCCGTACCGTACTGGCCGGTATGGCCGGTACGTATCGGTTTTGACAGTTGACCGAAACGGTACAACATCAAATTCCGTTTCGGTCACAATCCGGCCATTTCGATCAAAATCCGGTGTACCGGCCGGCACACCTAAATATGACCGGTACACCTAAGTTCAAACTAAAAAAAAAAAAAAACAATGGATTTCCGATTGCAGATCTGTTTCTGTTCTCCTTCTTCATCACGAACGACGAACGACGAACGCCACACGCCGCACGCCGCAAACGTCTTCCTCAACCTATCGCCAGTGGGTTGGAGATTCAGTGAATGCTTCGCTTCCGTGATTACCGGCTAGATTTGCTTCATCTTCTCCCCATTTCTGGTAGCTGCCGAACCCTTCTACTTTGGTGATTACCGGTGATGAAGGTGGAGGCTGTGATGATGATGAGATGCTTAGCAAGGGGATGGTGAAGATCCGAGGTGAAAGAACGAAGGTGATGGTGGCGATGGTGGATCTGCAGAAGGGAGAAAAATCAAGTTTTTTTTTTCTATTTTCTCTCTTTTTTTTCTTTTTTTCTTTTTTTTTTTTTTTTGTCTTTTTGGTTTGGCAGCCACAAACCCTCCTTCTCCCTTTAAAAGGAGGAAACTAGGGTTTTCTTAAATTTGGGTCTTGATGGGCTGCTTAATATTGGGCTGGGCTTATGAGTTTATTTTAGTAAATTTCATCCTTAGCTTTTTAATTTTTTCAATTGAGTCCTTTTCTTGTTTTTTTTCTTCAACTTCTCCCCAAAATTTTTCATAAAATTTTTTTATAACAATAAATCCGAAACGGTACGCGAAAAATTCCGGTATCCGGTGCGTACCGTTTCAATAACAAAACCGGTACGCATGCCGGTACGGTATTGACTACTTTGGTATTCCAAGCCATAATTAACAAATATCAGCTTGTTACAAATAGCAACTTAGTAGCTATGAGTAAACATCAACAATCCTTCAGTCCAATTCCATATTAGACTCTCAGGTTGGAATTAGACATTAAACATTTGATTGAATTTTCACACCAAGCTAAGAAGGAGAATCCATCCATTCCTACAACATTCCTTTTTCAATAAAAAGAACAAATGTGAACCAGCTCAAAAAATCTGTCAACATTTGCTTCCTTCAAATGGAAAATTTAATCATTCCTTCCCAGCCAAAGTGTTCATAATACTACAAACCAAATAATGTTCCACCCTCTATCTAGTAATTTTGGGCCCCCAAGCCACTTATGTTGGTCAGGAACCTCGATACATGAATTACCCAGAACATATTGCTTGCCCCACCACTTGTAGCATTTCGTGCATGAGCCAAAAGCCAACTTGCAATTAAAAAACATGTGATCTGACGTCTCAAGTGATGAATTACACTAATAGCAACTTAAATTTGAATTTGCAATCAAAATCCCACAGGTATTAGACGATCTTTTGTAGGAAGTTTATCATGAAGCAATTGCCAACAAAATGCACTTACTTTTGGTGGAACAAAGGCTTTCCACAACCTTTTAAAATCAAGTGTTGTCCTCAGCTCTCCCTTTAGGAGCCATGAATAAGCTAACCTAGTTATGTAATTTCCAAAGGTTTCTAAATGCCATTGCCATTGATCTTCTTTGTATTGTATTGGAGAAACTGTCTTCAGCACCTTTAACATCTCTCTTTTTGACTCCTCTTCCCATGATCAAAGTTCGCACTTCCAGGATAGTTTCCAATTCCAGTAGCCATCAATCCAAAATCCATATCTTTAATGCTGCAATCTTGATCTATAGTTAACAAAAATAAGTAAGAAAACTTGTTAGACAATTCTCTCCCTCCTACCCACACATCTATCCAAAACTTCACCTTACCTTCATCCCCCAATTTACAACAAAACTCGAGCTCAACCAATTCCTCTTTATAACCAACCCCCCTATATATCTTACAAACATCCTACCACCATTTTATACTTGAACATCTACCCTCCCTTAAATAAGATAGCCAGTTCCCTGCCTTACTTCCATATTTTTCAAACACTACCCCCTTCTATAAAACCCCCTTGTCAACTAACAATCTTCCCCACCATTTTCCTAGTAGTAACAGATTAAAACATAACAAATTTTTAATATCCAAATCCCCTTCTAATTTACTTTTGTACACCTTCTACCATGTAACCCAAGCAACCTTCTTACTTTCCCCTGTTCCTCCCCATAAAAATTTTCTCCTAATTTTGCCTAACTCACCAATAACACTCTTTGGAAGGATGTTGACTCAACGTACTCCAAGAGGGGGGTGAATTGGAGTTCCAAAACTTTTCCCCTTTTTCTACCACAAAACCCAAATTAAGGAGAGTAGATAAGAAGAGCTTGCACAATGAATTTATAGAGGTTCGGTCCAACCACTTGGAACTTGTCCTCTACCTTGGCTTCACTCACCAAGGATTTCCTCCACACTCTTCACTAAGAAAGACAAGGGTGGCTTAAAGGAGTCACTCAATCCTTTTACAACAAGATGAGTATTTCTCTCAAACCTCACCCCTTTACAATGTAAGCCCCACAAATCCTCTCAATAGATCACTCTTGAAGGAATCAACACACCCTCAAGATCACTCACTAAAAGCACAAGAAGAGGATTACAAGCAATGATCACTCAAAGATCAAAAACTCAAGTTAAAGCTCAAGTAGGTAGGTAAAGTTATTCAATGCAATGTTCTTTAAACTTGTTCATATCTGTTACCAACCATATTTATAGCCCTTTGCTCGAAAATAGCCGTTACTAGCCGTTGGGGGTCATTAAATGCTCTGCAGGACGCAAAAGTCGAGTTGCAGAATTGTCAGGAGAGTCGGCTTAACTTTCCAGAGCCGGCGCTTCAGAGCCGGCTTACACTTCCAGAGCCGGCTATCTGGTTTTGCAGCCTATTCTATTTTCCTCGAGAGCCGGCTGCAAGACTTTGAGCAGGCTTTGCAACTCCGACTTTAAATACATTAAATAATCTTCAAATGACTTGACCGTTGTGCATTAAATGCACCCTCACAGCCGGCTATAAAGTTGGAGCCGGCTTTGCGTCTTTTCTCCGCGCGCCAAAGAACGATCTTCAAATTTTTGCCTGTAGAGCCGGCTACAGCTTCCAGAGCCGGCTGCAGCTTCCAGAGCTGGCTCTCTGCACTTCCATACACCAGAGCCAGCTGCACTTTACCAGAGCCGGCTCTCTGCACATTGAATCCTTTTGGTCTATTTTTAGTGCCATCCAAGTTTACTTGCAATCTTTTATCAACTTAACTACACACTTAAATAAACCAATTAGTCACTCAAATGTGTTTTGTAATCATCAAAATCATAGGTACAACAAAGGAGATAAAAGGGCATTAAGAACATTGGTAAACTAGATAGCACAAAATTAATGAGTAATTCTTCCATTAAAAGATAGATGGTGGTCCTTCCTAGAAGACAACTTCCTTTGGAAAGTGCCAATAAGTGGCTTCCATGTATTTATTTTTTGGAATTTGCCCCCAAAGGAATACCCAAATACTTGCACAGTAGGGACCCTAATTTGCAATTCAGTAGACATGCCATTTCCCTTTCCCATAGGTTACCTACATTGATGTCAATCAGGGAACTTTCCCCATAGTTTATTTTCATACTAGAGATCGATTCATAGGCCCTCACAATACATTTTGTAGTCCAGGTGTTTTCCTCTATTATTTTCCCTATTATTAAAGTGTCATTTGCAAACTACAAATGAGAAATACATATGCCCTCTCGACCAAATGGGAGCCCTTCAAAATGCTATTTTGAGACAATAGATGAGATGATACCATTAAGCCCTTTCACAACAATTAAGAACAAAAATGGAGCTAAAGGATCACCTTGACATAATCCCCTACTCATGACAAACTCTTTTGTTGGGCTTCCATTGAGTAACACAGAAATTAAGTTTGTTTGCAAGCATTCTCAAATCCATCCCATCCAAACGGATCCAAACTCCATCCTCTCCATCATATAATCAAGAAACTCCCAGTTGATGTTGTTGTAGGCCTTTTCAAAGTCAACCTTGAAAATGAAGCAAGTCGATTTTTTCCTCCTAACCTCCTCAATTGTCTCATTTGCAATAACCACTCCATCGATCAGTTGCCTTCCTTCGATGAATGTTGATTGTTGTTCACCTATAACCCTGTCCAACACCCTACTCAATCTATTAGCAAAAATTTTAGCAAGGATTTTGTACATGCTACCTATCAGGAAAATATGCTTGTACTCTTTTATACCTTGAGGGCTCTCTGTCTTAGGTATCAACACCCAAAAAAAAAAAAAAAGAAAAGGCATTCAAACCTTTCACCAACTTGCTGTTACTATGAAATTCTGAGAGGAACTTCATTATGTCAACTTTTACCACATCCTGTCCTGCCTTCAAAAACCCGAAACTAAAACCATCCGGACCTAGGGCTTTTGCACTATCACAACTCCAAACAACATCTCTAACCATTTTTTTCAAGAAATGGTTCTATTAAGAAACTTTTGTCTACTTCTAAACTTTTTCTAAAATCCACACCATCTAAGAATGGACGTTTCCAACCTTCCTTTGCAAATAAATCCATAAAATAACCAGCCACTCCCTGCTTCATCTCGTCGACTTCCTGTAAAACCTTCCCATGGACTGATAACAAGTTTATCTCACTTTTACGCCATCTTCCTTTAATGCACTGATGAAAATAACTTGTGTTCACATCCCCTGCTTTCATCCATGTCTTCCTTCATTTTTGCTTTGCCATTTTCTCTTTGATTTGAATATTCTCCCATAGACTTAACATCAAATCCCTCCTAAGGAGGCATTCCGCCCCACTTAACTAATGTGTCTCCCCTTTACAATCAAGTTTACAATTTCAGCTTTTGCCTCTTTAATATGTTTATCCACCACTTGCACCTAATTTTGTGCCCAATCTTTCACATAGTTTTTGAATAATTTTGACTTTTCCTTCAACACAAAACCTCCCCACCCTTGGACAAAAAAGTCATTCCACTATTTTGCTACCATTTCTCTAACTATAGGATCCTACAGCCACACGTTATAAAATTTGAGAGGTTTTGGTCCCCAATTATGTGCTTTATTCTTCACCAAAACTAGGTAATAATCTGACAATGATCTAGCTAACCCCCATGGCTTCAAATCGATCCAGTTAAGCAACCATTTCTCAAAGAATAAAAACTTATCCAGACAGCTCATACAACTACCATTTGGTTGGTACCAAGTGAATTTCCTCCCTATCATAGGGAAATCCACCAGTTCGCTCATCTCAATGAAATCATTGAACTCGCTGGGCTCCCACCTCGCACTTTTGCATCCTTTCCTTTCTTGTGGATTTCGAATGGGATTAAAACCTCCAACTATACACCAGCTTCCTTTCTTTGAGATAACCATATTTGATAAATTCTCCCATAAGCTTCTCTTGCATGCCAAATCACCAAGGGAATATACATTAGCCAGATAACAGGGGATGTTTTTAGCTCCTCACATCCCAAAAACTCCCAAGAAACCTACACCTTCA